CTGAAAATAAACCAAGAAAAAAAGACTGTTAAGAATTATTTAAAGAGAAACGATGAACTGAAGATCCTAACATATAAGCAGAGCTGTTTTGAGGGAGGTAGGGGAGGGAAGCAGAGGAAGCCATCCAATGACTTTGTGAAGGGGGAGGGGAGGTTACCATGAGACCTCCCCAAGCACTACCCAATAGGCCATTCACCCCACTAGATGGCCACTTCAGTCACCATATAGGAATTTGGTTTATGGAGCACTTCCGCAGTAGCCTGAGGGATACATCAGCTTGTATAGCATCTCTCTGTCTCCACAGGTACGCCCTCACCTGCGCTCTCTGAAGCATCTGGGGTAGGTAATGGTTCCCATTCACTGTGATGCATTAACACTCTTCATGATTATCTGAGCTGTGGCCTCTGAACAAGGAGCCACTGTGTGGGCTAAAAACAGACTCAGCCTGAAACAACAAATCCTTAGGATGAACAGAATTCTGGTATCTTTGGGAAGATTTAACCCAACTAAAAAATGTTTCTCCCATCCAGTTAGTGCCTAACTTGTCTATAATTATATACATTTTTTCAAAGTCTAAAGTTGTGCATTTAAAACATTTCTCAAGCTTATGTGTTTCATTTTGGGAAGTATACACAAAATACATATTAAGTTTGGTAATATTAAAGTTAGTAATGCAAGTACCTTTCTATTCTAAGACAATGTTGTGGCTCTAGAGTTTTTTTTTTTTTTTTGAAAGAAGACTTTGTACTTTCAAGGAAAATGATTAGGACTGTTCTTCATAGTTGGTTCACAGACCAGTGTAAGTTTCTTAAACACAGTCCCTTAAGGCTTAAAAAATTCTAGACCAAGGACATGAATTTGGGAAGTATGAAATTGTCAGTGTCACTTAAAACTATATAACTAAGGGGAGGGAGAGGACGTAGAAAGAACTGGAGAAGAAGGAATATAAGGACACCAACACGCAGCACATGGGGAGACAAGGAGGAGGAGCCTATGAAAAGAAGAGAAGGCTCAGGGCGGCGGGGCTGGGGGGTGGGGTTGCGGGTTGCGGGGAAGCACGGGTGGATGGCCGCTGTGAGGTGCAGAGGAAAGAGCACAGCCACAAGGAGCTGTGCACAGCGCTGCTGTCAGCTGGGCCAGTTCAGTGGGCTGAAGGGAGGGAAGTCAAATGGGAGCGGGTCAGCAGAGGAGTAGCAATAACTGGTGGAAACACTGGCTGAGCACCGAAAATCCTTTCTTATGGTCCTCTTCCTCCCTTGTCTCACAAGTGGTTGTGCATAGTTGTCTCTCACCCAGAGGGGCAGGTTGGTGCATAGGAATAGTCACTTATAGGTATGGGGACCTTCGTTTTCTCTGCTTCTCTGCCTACCCTCATTGAAAGAGTATCATGGATTATTCCAGAAATATCCTGTCAAGGTTTTCTCACATCACCTTTTCCTGGTCTTTCCTTTAATTCTCTACCTCCCAAATCATGCATTCCCCCTCAGAGTGTAACCATTACCGCTAGATAGTTTCAGATCACTGATTATCCTGTGCTCCTCCTCCATTTTCACTCATTCAAAACAAAGCAAGCAAACAAACAAAAAACCCAAAATTCCTCACCTGTTAGATTAAATGTCAGTTGGTTACATAGCAGAGGGAGCTAAGGCGGATCTGGGCAAACATCCTGAATAAGGCAGAACAGTAAGAATGTGTTGATTTTATTTGAAAAATTGAAGGAATTTCAGAAGTTAGGGTTACATAAGCTCTTGTCTGAAAAGCACAAGGTACTGAGTTCAATCCCTGGTACTGCAAAAAAAAAGTTAGGGTTACTTTGGGGGTAGTGTGTAACAGAAGTCTAGTGTTAATTTGTGAGGTTTTGGTGTTTTTGAGACAAAGTTTCACTATGTAGTGCGGGGTGACCTCAAATTTGTGGTGATCCTCCTGCCTCAGCCTCCTAAATGTTGGGCTTTCAGGTGTTTGTTACCAGGCCCAGCCTCCTAGTTTAAGGGGCTTGGCTAGGGACACATATCACAGCATCCTGTGAGTAAAAAGGCAGAAAAATCTACCTTCATTGTACTGCATAGACATCATATGTAAAAGAGAGAAAGAATTATCTTATAATGTTGTTCTTTTTTTTTTTTTTGGTTTTTGAGTAGGCAGTAAAAAGTGCAATCGAATTTTGAACCATTTTGAAACTTCATCCTCCCTTTCTCCTTCTCTTTTCTTCCTTTCTTTGTCTCATTTGCTTCCTTTCTTTCTGTACTGATTCATCTCTCCCTTTCTTTTTTTTTCTCCCTTTGTTTTCCCCCTCTCTCTTTTCGTTCTTCCTTTTCCTGCCCCACTGGACTCTTTTTTTCCCTTTGGTTCTTTTTCACTGGCAGCTACTAAGTAAGCATCCTCTGCTGCCTCCGCAGGGAACGGGACGGCTGTGCTGTGCTGTCCCCAGGGCCTCAGTGTCCATTCCTCTTTCCCTGCTGACTGAAGTCTGTGTTTTATCGGCTCTGCTATTCTTGGTAAAGAGGCCAATAAAATGGAGATAACAAGTCCCAAATCCCAGTCTTCAGGGATGCTTCATCTTGTCAATGAGAGATTAAAAAATAATGGCTGGGGCCTCAGCATCACTGGCTGCAGCCAACTTTAAAAAGTCCTGATCGGACCATCTGGGCTTTTCTTTTTTATTTGTAAGGCTATTTTTTCCCTCATCTTTCACACGGCTTTGCATTTCCCTCATTAAGTTTTATGGCTGGGAAATGAAAAGAAAAAGGTAGATAGATACATGGTTCTTGACTCCAAAATTTAATCATCGAAGAGTACCCTTTGAGTTCATCAAATTACAATTCGATTGCACTTTGTCAAAAGCAAATATAGCCATTATGTCTTAGAGTTCAAAACCTTGAAGTTTCCTGGGCTGCAGTTTCTTTCCAGGGGCTTGACAGAGCGGCTTGCACCCACTGGCCACTTTCCCACTATGAATTTAAATATCTTCAGGGCACCAGGTCCTGGAATAAGCATTTTCTACCTAATTGCTTACTCTTTGGATGGATGAGTGCCATCTCCTTTCAAAATCGCCTGAGCACGTCCCTATTACGCAAGGGTTCAGAGGATGGCAAAGCCCAGAGAATATCCCCCAAGCATTTTTGCCTCTTTACTGAATTGTTCAAGTTTTAGGCTTTAAACAGAAACAGTTATATTCTTTAAGGGCTATAAATGAATTTTACTGACTGGACTTCAGAAGGAAATAAAGGTAAGTGAAATAGATATTTTCTTATTTGTGAATGGAGATTTCAAAGTCTTTCTTGGCATTGATCATAAGTATTATTATAAAATGCTTACTTTTCTTTCAACACCTAGATTTCTGGACTGGCAGGACTTGAACCTTTTAACCCAGTACCTAATACTTTTCTTTCTTCTGTTTGTGCGGTCAGGTACCCAGGCACAAATGCTACAGATGAGAGAGAAGCGTGACTAAGGAGGGAAGAGTGGTCGGCACGGGGAGGTAGCAAGGACAGTGGGTGATGGGATTCCACCAGTGTGGCTAAGGAGGTACCACCACCAGTGCACTGCTTTGTGTCACACAAAAAGGCACACCCTACAGTGGGGCCAGAGCTCCTAGTGCTTTCAAGGGAAGCTGACTATTTTAATTAACATATGAACTCTTGCAATCTTTAAATAGTGATTCTTCCTGGGATAACTAAGTGATGTGTCAATCTGAGTTAAAAAAAAAATGATATCTCTGGGTGTGGCTGAAGGCCTTACTAAAGAGGGAGGACCCTCCCTGGGTATGAGAAGTAGTAGCCAATAGGTTTGCTTCTGGAATGGAATTAAAAGGAAGTAAAGAAGGGTCAGTCCTGTTTGTGCAGGGGAGCTCAGGCCTTCATCTGCAGCTTGGGTGTTCTCTTCTGGCTTCTAGCACAGATTCTTCAGCCTCCAGTGCAAACGCTTTGGTCTTCCATTGCAAAACCTTTGGCCTCCTGATACTGACTAAATAGGCCTCTACAGTGAGCTCCAGGCCTTCGGCTGGATCCATGGTATCTCCAGCTCAGATTGCCTTCCATCCCCTTCTGCACCTGTCTCTGTGGGCAGCCATACAAGCTAGTCTTACCAAATCTCACACACTTGTGTATCCTGCATGAAATCTGTTTCTTTACTAAGCACTGACTGAGACACTTCCTTGTAAACATTACACAGACCAAACAAAACTTGGTGTTTTGGGTAAGATGTGAGGGCTCTCATTGCTTGAGCTTTGATTTAGAGCAATTTTTACTTCTAAACAATCATTTTATGACTAAGTCATTGATATTTCTATTTAAGTATTTTATTTATTCAAATTGTTCTCTACCATTGACAAATTTCTGTAAAATATAAAATGTGTGCTCCCCTTACACTTCCAAGAAAAGATCTTGTGTAGGATTTTTTTTTTTGTGTTATGTGATTTTGTCACACTTTATTATTTTAAACAATTATGGCACAATCTAATTTTCCAATATGGGCTGTAATAGATAATCTATTTTGAAGTTCGATGATCTAAAGGAAATGAAAATGCAGTAAGGCATTTTGGAGCTGGGAAAGACTAAGAACTGGCTGCTGCTGCTATGGTCAATTTAGTGTTTCCCCAAAGTTCTAATCCTAAGGGGATGGCTCTAGGTAGATGGGGTCCTCAGGAGGCACGTGTAGTATCCCTAAGTGATCCCTTCACTGTCATGTAAGGCTGAACCAGGAAGCCCCTCACCAGTTCTGGAAGAAACTTACGAAGTTTGTTTATAAGCTACCCAGTCTAGGCAAAGATAAATCTAAACAGCTATTAATTTATATTTGTCCTTTAGCTTCACACTGGACTTTAATCTTAGAGTGGGCTTGCTGGCTTTTTTGCTTTACCTATTTTCAAAATACTTCAGAACTTTTTTCTGTCAACTGTCATGAATTGATTAAAAAACAAAAAGTGAAAAATCCAGGCCCCTCCCACCTCAACTCTGCTGTACTTTTTCCACAAAGACAGTATTTCTCTCTATGTATTCTTCCACAAAGACAATATTCCTTAGCTATTTCTAATTCTGCTCATTTATTTTGAAAACTTGTTGAAATCAAATTTACACTGGATGCTTGCTGTTGGGTTCCTTCAAGCCTGCTCAGTTTCCCAGGTGTTTTGTGTGTCTTCCTTGTGCTATCAGCTTTCCCGTGGCCTTGTTGGTCACATCCACAGAGGCAAAGGCAAGTGTCTTTCCTTGCTTCAAAATATTTGCTGTAATTACTATTTCTTCTCCTATTTTAGCAGGTGACATGTACGTTATGTTCATGTCAACACTAACTCCTGGCACTCCTCTCTCTGTGAATACCAGGGCCATTGTTGAGATGCTGTCTATTAAGGTGGCCGTGAAGCCACCATGCAGCGTGCCATATTTATTAGTGTGCTCTTCTTCTACTTTCATTTCACAAATCACTTTCTCAGGCGCAGCAGAGATGAGAGTCACCTTTTCCCAAACTCTATCAAAACCTGGAGCTTTGCTCATGATCTTCATCGCTTCTCGCGCATTCCGTAACATGCTGCTCCCTGCGCACCGACTGTCAGCTTGGAAGAACGAAGGACCGCAAGTCTGCGACCGAGTAATGACCAAGGACCTGCGTCTGGCCGCCCTTTATGCCCGGCCTTGTGTAGGATTTTGTGACTGGACCTGAAAGAAAAACATAAAGTGATCTTGGTGGGGAGAGACTGAAGGACAGAGAGATGGCAAGAGCATGACTTGCGACAGCCCAGCACATCCTCTTCATCTGTGTACCTTGGACTCTCGAATATTGACTATTCCAAGAAATGCTCCTTGAAGAGACATCTCTGCAAGTATAAGTTCCAACTTCCCATTTATTTTTGGCACCTCGGGCTACTAAAGTACATCTTCGCTGCTATTCTACACGGCAGTTCTTTCAGAGGGCAGGTTTCTTGGCATTTTTTAGAAGCCTACTTTATATACCCAGACTTATCTTGCCTGGCCTTTGGTGGGCCATGGAGAACTACATTTGAAAATGTTGCCTGGGTGTTTTAAGGCTCCTCTGGTGAGGAAAGGAACAGCCACCAAAGTATTCAAGCTAATGAAGTTTTAAGAGGAATTTTAGAAAATTGACATGTGGGTTTGGGGATTCTGGTAACCAGAAAATAGCTACCTAAAGACCTTACTTCTCTTAAAGAGATGATAGGTAAGATTAAATTCCTTTAGCAGCTTCCTTTCCCTTCATTTCTTGCATTACCCCTGAATCTAACATACTCCTGTGTACATTTGTATGCGATAGCGCAGAACCCAATAATCCAAATGACAAATAAGAAAATACGGTTTGTTTATTTGTGTGTGTGTGTGTGTGTGTGTGTGTGTGTATGCTTGTGTGCTTTGAATTTTCTTTTTCTAGTTATCAATTCCCTAAGAGCAGCTACTTAAGTATTAATAAACATATATATATATATATATATATATTTAGTTATTAAAAAAATTCACTCAGAAAATTTAAATTTTGCTTTTCTTGCTCTGTATTCCAGTCCCATTCATTTTCCCCAGCCAAGTCATGTTCCCATTCCTTCCACCTACCCGGGGTAACATTAGTTTCTGTCTTCTTTGATCTTCCATAGCTCACCTGGCTTCCATTCCTCATCCTACTTTATATCATTACTCATGGCGACGGTTGTGTAAGTTATTCAAGGCAGGTGAGGCAACTTATAAATCACTGATCTCTCTCTCTCTCTCTCTCTCTCTCTCTCTCTCTCTCTCTCTCTCTCTCCCTTTCTCTGTCTCCTCCCTCCCTCTCCCTTTCCCCCTGAGTCTAATGAAGTGTCCAGCAACATGAGGAGGTCACTAAATATTTGATCGGAAGATGCTTGGGTGTGATTTTCTCATTCTTCCTAGGCATATAAAGAGAGCCCCTGGTTTCTCACAGGTGCTCAGAAAGTACTACACACACACAGCCTCTGGAAGTGGAGACACTGGAAGTGCTAGGGTCCCTTACACAGAGCCACAGGGAATGTGGCACTGCAGCCACGTGGCAGCCAGCCAGCCAGCCAGCCAGGCACCATGCTGTCCTTGCAACTGGAATCTCCCAGCTCCCATGCCAGATGCTTTTCTTGGTCTGCGGGACATATACACAAAGGCTTTGCTGACACTCTAGGATCCAACCCTGGTCACCACATCAGCCTAGTTTTGGCATTTTACATCTTCTCTCTCATATGAAACATGGACTTAAAAGTTTTTCACAGAACTTCAGGAAGGATTAAATGAGTTGCTATATATGAAACATGTGGTGTACAGCATTTAATTCACACTCACGCTCTGTAGTTGCGGGCTTGCCGCACTAATTGCCCCCCACTCTGTCCGATCTGGAGTTTCGACCTTCATCTTTTTCTCCACTTTATCCTGGATTCCATTTCAAAGCAATTTTTTATTTCCCTCCCAATTCCATGTTCTGAATTAATGCGTTTTTGTATTGTGAAACTAATTACTGCAGAAGGAGGTAGATTTCAGGGAATCAGAGGGACTTATCTCTCAGGGTCAGATGCCCTGAATTCGGTGAGTAAGTTAAAGGACAAAATGCAGGAAAATAACATCCTTGCCAAGCATGTCTAGCCAGGAAGTGAAACACAAGATGAATACAAGAGACACTGCTAAAGTTCGGGGATCAGATTGAGCAGAGGTGCATCAAACTCCATCACAGGTCAGGGTCAGAAGGACTAGCTTTATGGATCTCACAACCTTACCCCATCCTTGCAATCATCCCTTGAGACCACAGTCTGAGTCTCAGAGAGTTTGCTGCCTGTCTCCAGCCAGTGTGGTCACCTTGTCCCAGGGAAACCTGTGTGCATTGTAGGAATTGTTCAGAAACAGCAAGTTGTTTGTATAATGACCTCAGGAATAAGTATTTCCTTTTTATGAAAATAAGATTCAAACTTTCTTCCATGGTATGTACAGCATGGATGATAGACCTAGCCTCGATACTTCATGACCTTCTTGTATTGAACCCTCTTCTTCTTAGACTGAACTCTCCTCAGATGGGTCACTGCTTAATTCTGAAGGGCGCCTTAGAACCTTGGCATATAGTACACTCTGGTGGAAGTTACCCCTTATTCTTTGTTGTGGCTTTGATCTTTGTTGAAACCTCCAAAGTTAAACCCCTCCCTTGGCAAAACCCCTTCCTTGGCAAACTAATTTCTATTTCAAAGCAGGTCTCATTTCCACTATACAAATTACAACTTGAAAATGTGTGTGTGTGTGTGTGTGTGTGTGTGTGTGTGTGTCCTCTAGAATTTTTTTTCCTTGTCACTGCATGGGAATAGAATCCCATGGTTATAAGCACAGAATTTTTCTTATTTACCATTGTACTCCCAGGAGCCAGCCTAGCTCCTAGTATTAAATTTTTAATGAAAGAATAAATGAATGAATAATTTGTTTTCTTTTATCAACACCCTGGACGTGTAGGCATTGTGTCAGGCGAGAAGTATGGAGAGATCATTCAGCTCCAAAACTTCAGTGCTTTGGCTGTGATTTTCAGGCCGGCCTCTTTATGATTGGAGAAGAAATTGTATTTAGTTGAGGATGATGGCAGTTTTATTTAAGGAAAGACATCCAGGCAAGGAAGAATGCAAAGGGTATCTCCCATGAAAAGACAGTTTAAGGTTAAAATAAATATTTTGGAAGAAATGGGAGCAAATTATCTCCATTTTCAACTTAAACTCCCCGGTTCCCTGAAGATCTTTCCCCTTTGCAAATGGATTAACTCTAATAGCCCACCATAATGTGATAGCAGCAAACTTGTTGGGTGGTAAATATCCAACCTTCTTTTCTAAAGACACGAGGGGAAGGAAATCATGCTCTGAAATGGAGCCGGCAGTTACACTTGCCCGGCTAAGACCTACAAGGGCCGTCGGAACTTTGCTGCAGGGCAGAAGCTGGTCACCAGCTGGGCTCAGAAGAGATTGCTCCAAGCCCCCTGCCCTGACACTGCACAATTAGGTGCATTTCAGTAAGACTTTTACCTTTTTTTTCCCCCTGCTGTTCCACACTGGCTACTCTCAGAGGCAAGATCCTGGGCTGGATGGACCATTGGTCTGGTTCCACTGGGGCAATTCTTGTGCTTTGATGGTCTTAAACAACCTTGCTGAGAGATAAATGTGATTCTAAGAGGATTTTGAGATAAATTCCCACAGCTATGGTGATAAAAAAAACATTTGACTCTAGTTTTGATGTAAGCAGCAGCCCAAATATTTAAAGTCATTTGCTTCATTTACTTCCTCAACTGTCTCAGCACTTTGAAAAGACACGACTTCCTTGGCCCAGAGTAATTTCTTTATTTATCCCACAGGGACTTTTACGCAGACCCCCGCAAGCTGATTCATTTGTAGAAGTGGCCACAGTTACATTTTCTTCTTTTTCATATTTGTTCTATTTAAGACTTGGCTCCCTCCTTTCTCCAAATTGTACTGTATATTTAACTCTCTCAACACACGACTCTTAGTACATCCTGCTTGATGTGAAAACTAGCATAAGAAACCAACGTTTCACTAAGAGATCATTGTCAGGCAGTTGAAGGAATATCAGACTTTTAAGAGAAACTATCAAAGGTAATTGACTAGCTAAGCCTGCTTTGCTATCATATGTTAATTAAGAAAAATGGGTTGAGTATTTATCACATGCTGGTGCTGGCAATGCCTGGTTTCACAGAGATGAGCTGACAGCCTGCGTCAAAAGACCCTTGGGTACAGCTGCAAAAGGAATAGAAGCATGTATGCCCACAAAAGCATGTGCACAAGATTCATAGCTGAAAATCTGGAAACAACCCAAGTGTCCATCCACTGATAGACAGACGTACAAAAGGTGATGTATCTACACCATGGAATGATACTTGGTAAGGAAATAATGAAGGAGTAATACATTTTACAACACACTGAATCCTGAAAATGCTATGCTAAGTGAAAGAAGACAGGGACAAAGGTGCATAACGGACGATGCCATCTAAATTAAATGTCCAGAGTAGTGAAATCCATAGGAAGGGAAAGTAGGTTAGTGGTTGCTGGGAGGTGTGGGGAAAGTGAATGGGGACTTACTGCTGGTAAATGAAGACTTCCTTTTGGGGGATGACAAAGTTCTTAAATTAGATAGTGACGTGTTCATCACTGTCTGAATACACTAACTGAAAAGCTGTGTGTATACTCCGTAAGTGTGAACTTCATGGTTACATCTCAATAAAACTGGTACAAGCAAGCAACAGTCAATGAGCAATGAAGGGACAGTGAAAGGAGCTCCATTTAACTAAATGGAAAATGACCCAAGGGAGTTGCTATTTTAGGTTAGGGGGACCAGGGACAATCTCTCTTGAGGAGATGACATTGATAGGAAGGAAAGGCCCCAGGTACATAAAGATTCTGGACCAGGAGAGCATTGGGAAGAACAATAATGCTTCACATATTTGGAGGCTGCAAAACTGTGGCAAATGATCAGGAAAGGGAGCAATCAACTCAGAGATGCAGGCAAAGGCCAGCTGTGGTAGGGCCTTGCAGAAGGTGGTATGTGGTAGTTTTTAAAAAATAGAAAACTATTAAAAACTGCGGGGGGTTAAATTATTGACATTTTAAGAAAGACAATCATCTCCATTTTTTATAACCTGAATTAT